CAGCGCCCACCAGCGCAGCGAAAAACGGCCCCCGGTAGACAGGAGCTGCCTCTGCGGCAAAGGTGCGTCCCGGTCGGGCCGAAGGCGCCGTGGGCTTCACGCCCTTCGCGGACCTCCAATGAAGGGGCCCAGGGACACAAAAATAAACACGCACAAATCCCAATATTGTTCTGTTTTGGGGGGGATGTTCGTCTTCCCCCCCAAACATCCCAAATTTCTGTGCTGGGAGATCGACGATTCATTGTGTCTGTGTGTTTCTTTCCTTCCTGATCCAGGCCACTCCGCCTCACACGTGGAAGCCTAGGCTCAAGCGAGAGCGCCCTCCCTGAACCTCTCCCAACGGCTTCCGTCTCACACGCGGAATCCGAAGCTCAAGCCCGGGCAACCAAACTGCAGTGCAAGCGTTGGGGCTTTCGTTTTGGTGCTGACGTCCCGCCGTGCGCGAACCACGACCAATAACTGTTGTGCAGAAGAACTGCCGCAGGGAAGGTGGCAAGAAGGGGGAGCTCGTTATGGGGCCGCGAAGCATGTGAGGATGATCCAAAAGGGCGGGGCGCCGCCTTGCGGTCGCTACAACTTGGGCCTTCGACGGAGCTCCCTTCGGGGCTACAGCCAACCCGTATCATAAGAATGAGCGGGAAGGATGCAAGGGCCTTGGAGGCCCACGTTAATGGTTTTCGAACGAGGCTGGCCAGCGAAAGTCGCTGAGAGTGGGCCGAAGGGGCAAGGATGCAAGGGTACCCTTGGAAAGGTTGTCCATCCTCACTATGCGGGTTGACTGTATAGGGCAGCGCCGCCATGCGGGCGCTGCCGCTTGGGCCTTCGGTGGAGCTCCCTGCACGGCCCCGAAACGTGCGAGGGGTGACCAAAAAGGGCGTGGCGCCGCCACCCGGGCGCTGCCACTTGGATCTTCGGTGCGCTGACATGGGGCGGCGCCGCCATGTGGTCGCTGCCGCCAGGGCCTTCTGTGGAGTTCCCACTAGAGCCACGGAACCCGTGAGGAGAGTGTCCAAATGGTGCGGCACCGCCATGCGGGCGCTGCCACTGGGGCCTTCGCTGGAGCTTCCTATGGGGCTACGAGACGTGTGAGGGGTGTGCCAAAATGGGGCGGCGCCGTCATGCGGGCTCTGTCACTTAGGCCTTCGGTGGAGCTCCTGTCGGGGCTACGAAACGTGTGAGAGGTGTAACGACATCTGGGGCTTCGGGGGCCGTCTTGGGGCCCTCTGGCGCGGTCTGGGGGTCCTCTGGGGCCGTCTTGACGCTCTCTTGAGGTTCTCGGGGGGGGGTATTGGGCTGTCTTGGGCCGTTGGAAGGGACAACGATCAAATCCTTCCAAAACCTTGAGAACAACACAGTTTTTGGCATCCTCAGGGAGTCTTGGGCACGCGCGGGTGTCTCTCGTGGGGCATCTGGAGGACCTCTTGGGCCGTGTTGAGGCCATCCTGAGCGCGCTCTTGGATCGCTTCCAGTCCCGTTGGGCCTCTCGTGAGCCGTTCGCCTTAGGGGTATATTATACTATCTGGGAGGCCGCTTGGGCCGTCTGGAATCGGCTACACACAAGAGTGACCCTGGGTAAGAGTGACCTTTGGTGCGCGGCTTTTTGGTGGCCGCGGGGGGACTAAATCTGGGCGCGCAAGCCGCTACTCCTGCTTCGTTCTCAGCCACCTGGGGGCCCATCTGTGCCCGCACCAAAGGTCACTCCGGCAAAGGGTCACTCTTGCGTCTGGCCGGTGGAAGCCTCCTGGAGGGCCCGGGGAAGGGGCGCCAAAAAGGCCGGCCGCTGTTCTGGACGCGGCGGGCCTGGGCCAGAGGCCCGCACAGTTCTACCCAGCGGTCGGAAGAAGTGGGCAGGAACAAGAAGTAGGAAGGCGTTGGAAGCAGATTTAGGAGACTAGGTAATCTTGGATTCCCAGGTTTCAAGCTAGTTTAAGCGCCTTCCTAAAAAAGATCGAGTGGCTTCCCCTTTTGCCCTCCTACTCAGGAGACAAACGGAGACCCCATTTTAGGGGAGCAACAAGTGACATAAACATAAAAACTCGGTGGTCCGCGCGGATTTCTTGGATCGGCGCTGGGGCCCACCGGCGGCGCCTCCGGCGTCGCCCCTGGCGCGCTCCGCGCGCCAGGGAGGGGGGTCCAGCGCCGATCCGAGAAATCCGCGCGGATCTTCGAGTTGTTATGTTTATGTCACTTTTTGTTCCCCTAAGATTGGGTCTCCGTTTGTCCCCTGAGGAGGGAAAAGGGGAAGCCACTCGATCATTGAAGTAGGAAGGCGCTTAAACTAGATTGGAACCTGGGAATCCAAAAAAACCTGCTCTCAACGACCGGTGGGTACACATATGATAGATCGATGTACGGTGACGGGCGGTGCCGGCGCCTCCGCCGCAGACCATGCCAGAACTGAGGTGTGGGAGATGCTGCGGATATGGGTTGAGCCGGCCCGGCTGGCGTGAGCAGAGGCCTTCTGGAAGAAGACGTCCTCCTTCACGCCGAAGGATCCCGCCTTCGAGCGGGTGCGTAGCACGGCGGCCGATCGGCCGAGGAGACGGACGGGGCGAAGCCGAGGCGTGACAGTCAGAGGTGCCGATGAGAACGGGGGTGAGCTGTTCTTGACATACAAGGAGAGAAAGAGAGAGAGAGAGAGGGAGGGAGAGAGAGGGAGGGAGAAAGAGAGAGAAGGAGAGGGAGAGAGTGCAGCTGAGAGGAAAAGGGCATCCGCCAGCGCACCGCGCGGGGACTAAGCTCTCTTCCCCGCGCGACTCTTCCAGAGGTCTCGAGAGCGTGGCTGCATCCCACCCCCTCCAGGATGCCCTGAGATGGTTCCAGGGCGCGCCCAGGAGCCCACTACTACTCGGGCCCCTCTTCGACTGTCTTCGATGCCCTGGGGCTCGACCAAGCCCCAAGTCCTTCCAAGAACAAGCTATGTCTTAATCCCTCCAGTTCTCTGGGCGTAGGTGGCCGAACGGTATGCATCCTTTCTCTCTCCTCCAAAACCACTTCCTCATCCTTCGGGAAGGGGCTCCTTTCTGCTCCTCATGAATGAACACCCCCTCCCCCGCCGGACCGACGACAAGCCATGGGGAAACCAAAAGATACCGACCTCTCCCGGGGTGTGGTCTGACCAGGATTTCGACGCGAATCCAGCGGTGGCGACGAGGGCTACCCAGGAGGCCCCAAAAAGGGAAAACGGGCGAAGGGTAGAGGTATGGGCACCTTTTCTTCATCTGAAACCAGGAACTAGTCTAACATCCCCTCACTGCCCTATCAACAAAAAACAAGACACAATGCACTTTACGGCAATATTTGGAACAGGCGCGGGCACGGAGCGATCTCTTCGCACTGTCTTTGATAGGCTGATATTGGCCAGGGGGGGTCGGCATATTGCTTGAAGCGTGAATGCAGGCCCATCATACCCGACAACAACAAAATGAAGCGCTCTTTGCGGCAACATCTTCATCATGCGCAGGCGCCCCGCGATTCCTTTGCAGTCTTGTTTGACAGAGATGACGTGGGTGCCCTGGCACACGCGGCGAAACTCGCGGGCGTCGCGCACCTGGCTGGCGTTTGCATTGGTTCCCGATGACTGTCGATGGCGGCCCTTGCACATGTTGAGACTTGGGCGCTACTTATGAGGCGGGTGGGAGGGCGGGTGGGAGTGAGCGAGGCGGCTGCCCTTCGAGGGGGGCATCGTTTTGACCCTTCTTCCTTCCCCCATCCCAGGAGTCTGGAGGGGGGGGGGAAGAGCGGTCAGAGCGCCCAAGATGGCTCCCAGAGGGCCTCCGATGGCTTAAGCTGGCCCCCCAAATGGCTCAAGATAGCCGAAGATGGTTTAAGTGGCTTCCGACATACCTCCAAGAAGACCACGAGAGGACCACCAGAAATCTTCAAGCGCTCTCGGAGCACCCCAAGGACTACCCCCAGGAGACAAACATGAGACACAAGGAAATCATTGATGTCTGACTTCTCGCCTGTTTGCTTGCTCCGGAGGCCTCAAGATGACCCCACGATTGCCCAAGAGAGCCCCAAGAGGGGCCCAAGAGGCCCCCAAGACAGCTCCACTAGGGCCCCCTAGAGCCCCCAAACGTGCATATGAGCGCTCCTCAGGGGGGACGGCAATCTAGGACCCCCATGAGCATCCCATTACGTTCCACAACGGCCCCGCGAGGGCCCCAAGAAACCCCAAAGAACACCTCCAGCGGACCCTCAGAAGATTCCAAGATGGCTCCAAGAGGTCTCGTCCTCGTTGTCCTCCTCCTCCTCCTCCTCATCATCATCATCATCATCCTCATCCTCCTTGTCGTCTTGGTTTCCCTCGTCATCGTCCTCGTTATCGCATTCCTCGTTATCCTCCTCCTCCTCCTCCTTCCCCTCGTCGTTGTCCTCTCCTCCTGCTCCTCCCCTCATCATCCTCATCCTCATCCTCATCAGCATCAGCGTCGTCATCATCATCATCATCATCATCATCATCATCATCATCACCACCACCATCATCATCATCAGCAGCAGCATCATCATCATCATCATCATCATCATCACAATCATCATCATCACCATCACCATCATCAGCACCATCATCAGCATCAACCTCAGCATCAGCATCAGCATCAGCATCATCATCATCATCAGCAGCATCACCACCACCACCACCACCGCCATCAGCATCATCATCATCATCAGCAGCAGCATCATCGTCATCATCATCATCATCATCATCATCATCATCATCATCATCATCATCATCATCATCATATTCGTCCTCATCATCGTCATCGTCCTCATCCTCGGTCTTGCCCTGGTCGTCATCCCCCCGCGCCCGAATCATCCTTCCCCTCGAATTCCTCATCCTCCTCCTCCTCGCTGTCCTATTTTTCCCAACCATCCTGTGGTGTTGGGTCCTCGTTTTGAAGAGACAACGCCCCGCGTTCCTCACCTCACATCCCGCGCTCATCCCCCGCCTCCCTCCTCCCATTCGCCTCGTCACCTCCCTGTGTGTCACCCACACAGGACAGCGTCTCGTGGCCCCATAGAGAGCTCCACCGAAGGCCCCAGTGGCAGGGTTCGCATTGCATCCCCCCGCCCATTTCGGCACACCCCTGACACAGTTCGTGGCCCCATAGGGAGCTCCACCGAAGGCCCCAGCGGCAGGGTTCGCATGAGCCCCCCCGCCCATGTCGGCACACCCCTCACACGTTTCGTGTCCCCACAGGAAGCTCCACCGAAGGCCTCAGCGGCAGGGTCGCATGCGTCCCTCCCCCCATTTCGGCACACCTCTCACACGCTTCGTGTCCCCACGGGGGGGCTCCACCGAAGGCCCCAATGGCAAGGTTCGCATGCCCCCCCGCCCATTTCGGCACACCTCTCACGAGGATCGTGGCCCCATAGGGGGCTTTACCGAAGGCCCCAGCGGCAGGGTTCGCATGGGTCCCCCAGCCGATTTCGGCACACCGCTCACGAGGACCGCGGCCCCGTAGGGAGCTCCACCGAAGGCTTCAGCGGCAGGGTTTGCATGCGTCCCCCCGCCCATTTCGGCACACCCCTCACGAGGATCGCGGCCCCATAAGGAGCTTCACCGAAAGCACCAGCGGCAGGGTTCGCATGCGCCCCCCCGCCCATGTTGGCACACCCCTCACGAGGATCGTGGCCCTATAAGGAGCCCCCCCGAAGGCCCCAGCGGCAAGGTTTGCATGCGTCCCCCCGCCCATTTCGGCGCACCCCTCACGAGGTTCGTGCCCACCATAGGGAGCTCCACCGAAGGCCCCAACGGCAGGGTTCGCATGGTTCACCCCGCCTATTCGGCACACCCCTCACAAAGATCGTGGCCCCATGGGGAGCTCCACCGAAGGCCCCAACGGCAGGGTTTGCATGCGCCCCCCCCCCAGCACACCCCTCACGAGGATCGTGGCCCCATAGGGAGCTCCACCGAAGGCCCCAGCGGCAGGGTTTGCATGCGCCCGCCCGCCCATTTCGGCGCACCCCACACGAGGATCGCGGCCCCATAGGTCGCTCCACCGAAGGCCCCAGCCGATTTCGGCACACCCCTCACGAGGATCGTTACCCCGCAGGAAGCTCCACCGAAGGCCTCAACGGCAGGGTTTGCATGCACCCTCCCGCCCATTTCGGCACACCCCTCACGAGGATCGTGGCCCCATAGGGAGCTCCACCGAAGGCCCCAGCGGCAAGGTTTGCATGAGTCCCCCCCGCCCACTTCGGCACACCCCTCACACACTTCGTGTCCCCACAGGGAGCTCCACCGAAGGCTTCAGCGGCAGGGTCTGCATGCGTCCCCCCGCACAGTTCGGCACACCCCTCACGAGGATCGCGGCCCCATAAGGAGCTTCACCGAAAGCACCAGCGGCAGGGTTTGCATGCGCCCCCCCGCCCATTTCGGCACACCCCTCACGAGGATCGAGGCCCCATAAGGAGCTCCCCCGAAGGCCCCAGCGGCAGGGTCTGCATGCGTCCCCCCGCACAGTTCGGCACACCCCTCACGAGGATCGCGGCCCCATAAGGGTTTCCACCGAGAGCGGTGCCCACAACGCGGTACTCACAGCTGCAGATGGTTGGGTCCTTCGCCAGGATAAGTATCCTCCTCGCTGTCCTTAAAAGGGTTTTGAGAGAGCCTCAAACAGACCTCAAGAGGGCATCAACAATACCCAATCAGAAATCCTTCTGGGCGACGCTCCACAGCATGCCTCGACAACTTCCTGATCGCCAAGCGATCGTTTCTGGATGGGCTGGTGGCGATACTTTTTTGATCCGCGAGCGACACGGCACAACCTCGCGGCGTCGAGAGCGAAGCAACCAAGCTACGATCTAAATTAGGCACCAAACGCGCAAGAGCGAACTACGCTGCGACTCAGCCGGCGAACGCTGGTGGGGAATTTTTTTGGTCGGCGGCTCCGAGGCAGCGGTCAGGGAGCGGAAGGGAAACTGGTGGGGATACTTTTTTTTTTGATCTGCGGCCCGCAAGGAAGAGTCCAGAGGGCGGGTCAATCGGGCTGACTGGGGCACAGAGCCAGATAACTGGTGGGGATACGCGAATCGTCAAAAAATCTCAATATGCTCGGCTTCTCGGTCTCAAGAGCGTCCAGGACGGCCCCAAGGAGGAAACTCGAAGCGTCAATTTTAGCCATTTTGGCTCAAGTTTTCTCAAGACCTCGCCAAGTTTTCTCTCACCTTTGCTCTTGCCCTATTCGATTTTTTCTCGAACACTCCATGCCGGTGAACACTCGCCAGCCGGGCACTCCAGTGCGTGGAGTACTTGGCAGCTCATCCTCTGAGGCAGCGCCGGTCGAAATTGTGCCCCTTGCCACTCCCGCCGACAAGAAGGCCCGCCTGAGGAGCCCCCTGCACGAGATGGACGATGGCTTGCTCTCGGACGACGAGGAGAAGGATAAACAGCTCGGGAAACCCTTTCGGCAGCCGGACTTCTCGAATGCCGACGCCGCTACAGGAGCTGCTCTACCGAGTGGTACGGAGGGGGGTCCGTTGACGGAGCCGGTT